AAAAAAATAATTCTCAAAAATAATTTCTAAAAAATTATTAAGTTAGATAAAAATAAAAAAACTAAACTTATTATATTAAGAATGTAATAATATATAAAAGAAGTGATTCTCAGAAATAATTTCTAAAAAAAGTATTAAATTTAGATAAATAAAAGAAAAAAAATAATAAAATTTACTATATGCAATATACATGTAATTAAAGTGATTATTAGAAGTTAAAGATAAAATAAAGTTTAATGATTTAATATAAAATTTTATGATTATGATATCTTGATACTTATACAGCTCTTGATGTATATAATGAAAATTGAATGTGTTACAAATTATATATAGAAAAAATGTAACTATGTCTAGCATATGTGACCAAACTTTAATATTGATTTGTTTATCAATGCAATATAAAAAAACAAACCTAAAAAAAAGCTTAATTAGTTCCCTTTCTCTTTTTTTTGATGTAAAATGGAAAAAACCTTACTTAAAAACTAACAAATGACTATAAGTCAGCTTTGAAAGTGTGGTATCTGTGATATATCAACTTTAGCAAAACTAAGTAGTATCCCTCTTTTTATGGCATATAAGTATGTCATTCAATTAAAAAAAATGATGAACTTGGACCTATTTTTCATCCTGGACATCCCATAATTTTAACTCCCAAAGATCGATGTGTGTTAGGAAGACTTATCCAAAATAACAGGTATCTTACCTGTGAAGAAATCATCAATAAATTTAGTTCTAATATCAAAATATCAGCACGAACAATTAACCATGAACTTAATAAACTTGAATACCATGCAAAAAAATCAAAAACTATTCCTTTACTTATGGAAGAAAAATGCTAATATTATATTGAATAGGCAACTGTCCATATCTGATAAAACTGGAAAAATAACATATTTTCAGATGAAATCACTTTTCAAATATTCCAGAACACTATGAAAGTATTCTACAAAGTTGTGATAAATATTCCACAGAAGAGAGTTTCAAAATATCCAATGAAAGTTCATGTTTGAGGTGCATTTTCTGCATGTGGAATAATCAACTTCCATATGTTTATACAAAATCTAAATAGGGAGCTTTATCATAAAATCTTAACTAACCACCTCTTCAAAAATGCATATAGAGTCATGGGAGAATATTGGATCTTTTAGCAAGATAATGACCTGAAGTATTAGGCTATAGAAACAAAAAAATTTCTTTGTCATCAAGTCCCAGAGATTCTTGATTGGCTATCTTATAATCCTGATCTTAATCTAATAGAAAATTTTTAGGCTATTATTAAAAAGAGAGTTGAGAAATGTGTCAGTAAAATAGTTAGAAAAGAAAAAACAATTAGCATTGAGCATTGGCATAGTTTAATTAGGGAGAAGTGGGAGGATATTTCACTTGATATATATTTTAATTTAGTAAATCCAATGTTGGGTTATTTAAACAAAGTTCTTGAAAATAATAGGAAAGGAATAAATTATTAATATATATATATTTATTGTATATAAATATCATATTTACTTATCTGTAAAGCCATAAGCTAAATAAATAAAGCCCTCATAATTTATCACCAAATAATGATTCTTATTATATATGTTGAGAGCTGTATGATATTTCAGATAATTCAATAGAATAAATACATATATCAATTTCTATATTAATAGTATAAAATAATTTAGAATTTTTCTATTGACTCAGAATCAAATATTCAGCATATACTTTATTTGTTGGATTTCTGATATATTAATTATCTCTCAACCTGAATACAAAAATCACTTAGCAATTTGAAGATGACTAAGATATTTATTTGTAATTTCTAGTAAATAATATTTATAAAAGTAATTCATATTTATGATTATAAAGTGAAATACTTGAATGATATTATATGTTTGAATATATAAAAATATAATATTTTTAAGTAATACAAAGCTATATTTTATATAATTATTTATATTATTATTATAAAAAAGAAGATCAGAATGAAATAATATTACTTAAAATTATTATCAATTCAAAAATAGCTCAAAATAACTTTATAGTAATAGATATATAAAATAATAATTAGCTTTCAAATTATGATAATACTTTAACATTTCAATTTCTATTTTTGTATATAGAATTTTCTTTATTATTTTTATAATAGATACATAATAATCTTTATTAATATGATATTTGGCATGATGTAATTAATATTAAAATGCTTGAAAAACATGAAATATATATAAGAATCATATTGATTTTGATTAACAAATTTCTAATATATTCTATTTTGTACTTGAATCATCTGTTAAAAAGACTATCAGATTAATATTAGAATTATAATTAAAGAAAATATATTATAGAAGAAGAGTTTTTAGCATATTCATTTCCTTTTCAAGAGTAATTTCTAGTTTATTAGATATCATGAAAAGATTGAAAAATAGTATACCTACTATATAACTTATATAAAATAAAGTAATTAATATATTTAATAACTTGAAAGAAACTGATATATTCATGTAATAAAGCTCTTTCACTTATCAAATTTTTTTATAAATCTGATGCATTAAATTTGTTACTATATAAAGAATAAGAGCTTGTTCTAAACTTAAATCATATACTTAAAGAGTAGCATAATTAAATTCAGAGTTATTATAAATGCTAATTTTATCTGTAAGTCTTTGAAATATTAATATATTATTCTTTTCTTCAAGTTATTTATCATGATATTATTTAAATAAGTTTGAGATATAGCTATAATCAGAATTATATATATAATTAGCCAAAAGCTATATAAGTTTATAATTAGTATTTGCATTTAAATACAAATTATCTTTGTAAGTATATATGACTAATGCTAATGAATATCTATTATAAAATAATTATATATATTTATCATAAACATTATCTTTAACTTACTGAAAGCTGAGAGATTCTATAAAATAAAAGATATGATTATAAGTAAATTTAATATTAACTTTAAGTGAATAAGTTATTTGAAGATGTCAGTATTTAAGCTAAAAATGAATAGTTACTATACATTTAATTAATATTTCTGACTTATAATAAATAAGATCTTTTTGATATAGAATTTTCCTGTTTTTGTTTTACTTTATTACTATAAATACAATAATATAATTCTTGAAAAATAATCTTTTTTTTGTAACTTGATAATTTTTTGTTTTAGATATTATCATTCTTGATAATTTCTTGAATTTAGCAAACTATTACTATATATTTTTAATATTATTAATATTCACAAAAAAATCTACTTCAAAATTATTAATTGAAAAACCTTCTTCCATAATATATGATAAAAGTTATCTAATTTTAAAAGATAAATAATCATAATTTGGTAAAAGTATAGCTGTGATAAAATCAGATAATATCTTATTTGTTACAAATTTGCTTATTTTAACTTGATCTTGTATATTGAGCAAGTCATTATAAGATTTACTTACTTTGACTTGAAGTATATTAGGTGAGTTATTGTAAGATTCGCTTATTTTGACTTGAAGTGTATTGAGCAAGTTATTATGGTAATATTTCTTGACAAGAACATAATATTAAGTGGTGCTTTAAACATTCTTAACCTCACAAATAATATAATCTTAATGAACACTTACCATTTCTTGTGTTTAATTTTATGCTGAAAAATGATTGGCCAATATACAAAATTTAGTAATCCGGACTGAAGATCGGACATCACATCCGACTAATGATTAACAAAACCTGGCACAGATTTCTGATGTGCATCAGAATTTATATGGGATATTGATCCTATAAATTCTATAAAAGTAAATTTTACGTATTACAAAATCTGAGATGCAGAAAAATAGAGATTTTCTGTAAGAATGCTACCGGTTGCCTCGTTATTTATTGTACTGGTATCATTTTCAATGTTCCTAAACTTTCATTATGTGTTCGTAGCTTAATAATCTTAAAGACTGTCTGGGTTTCTTTTTTTTATGCTAAAGTTTTTACATGTCTATGATATATAATGATACAATTCTTGCGTGATATTCAGCTTTACTGCAGAATTTACAGAAATCTACTGCAAATTTGCAAAATTCATGTACATGTAATTATGTGAAATTCTAAAATTTACATGCGGAATTCGGTTATGCATATAAGATTTTATTTGCGAAAATTTAAGTTGTTTAAAACCCGCAAGTCAATTTCAGACACGGCACAGTCCCAAGCTATAAGACCTATGTATTTTTGCCCTCTATAAATGCACACACTCCTTAAATGCATACTCTGTCATTTTTTTTCAGATCCATTTAGAAAAACGAAATTTTTTCGCAAATTATTGATTAATATATGTAATTCTGAAAGTCGAATGATAAATGCATGTATACTAAAATTAGAAAAACTATGCGCATTCATTAAAAAAAATACAATAAACACATGAATGTGATGTGCTACAATTGGCGTTCAAAGTTTGTCGGATACTTTTGGCAAGCCTGTGCACAAGTTCCAAAGGCCTCATCTCTTATTATTGTTAATGACAATAACACTATATTTATAAATAAATCAATCTATAAAAATCGTTATAATATCTATAAAAAAGCAGCAAACCATTACCGTAAAGTGCTCTGTATAGTACCCTTGTAAAAAATCTAAAAAAATTAAACCACAATTTTAATCCCAAGGCAAGTAAATTAGTAACTAAAGTTTTAAGAATAACATTGTGCATTAAATTTAGTATTATTAGTAAACAAATATTTGGTTTCTTAGGAAAAAGTCAGATTAAATTGAGATTTAAATTTCTTAGATTTTTTCAAGGGGAAGGGTGGTTACTATACAGAGCACTTTACGGTACATTTTATGGAGAAGTTGCTTGTCAAGCTGCTCAGGAAAATTACATTGTATCAAACAATCGTGTCCGTTATCTTGCTTAAAAGATAATCAACAGATTATTTACATATCACAGCTCGTTTCATATTTTAGAAATTCTATGAAAGCAAATTAACTCGTGTTTTTCCTTCAATTTGCCAAGAAATAAAAAAAATATAAAAAGAAAATGTCAACTAATGCATGATTTAAAATTTATTGATTTTATATTAACAATAGAACATAACTCTGAGTCGGCTTCAGCTCCCATTAATATCAATCATGATGTTGAATCAACTTCAGTTCCAATTGATAATGTTGGTTCCGACTCAGCCATAGATTATGAGCAACTTCAGTTCCTAATCATGGTGTTGATTCCGGCCGGTTATAAATTATGAAGCAACTTTAGTTCCGATTGTTAACTGTGAACGAACACTAGTTCCCATTCACGGTGTTGACACCAACACTTCTATAAATTATCATTCATGGTATCAGCTACGACTCTACTGTAAATTATCAGCAAACTTCAGATCCTAATCATGGTGTTGACTCCGTCTCAGCTTCAATTCCTATTCACGGTCACTAATGATACCTGACGAATGACGAAACCTTCATCAAGTCATTTTGTTTTGACGACTTAAACAATTGACGAAACCTATGACAATTGATAAAAAAATAACATTTCTTTATTAAAAGTTTTTGTATTTGCGTTGCCTTTCCTGTGGCAGTTTAGCCAATCGTCACAGGTTTCGTCAGGTATGGCACCGACTCGGCTATAAATTATTGGTAAACTTCAGTCCCATCAATGGTTTTAGTTACGACTCGACTATTAATTAATTAATTAATTATATAACAACTTCGGGCCTCCTTTCATGGTTTTGGTTACATATTTTGAATCTACTTAATTTCCATTGATAGTGTTGATTCCCGATTCAACTATTAATTACGAACAACACCAGTTTCCATTCATGATGTTGGTTCTGATTCGGCAACAAATTACGCAATACATCAACTTCATATCTATCAAGAGTAATTCGAGATTTAATTATTTCAATTGATTGAAAACAAAAAACAAAAAATTTTATTTTTTTTATTCGTTTAATCCTTAACTCATTTTATCAAATAAACTTTTTGGATTATTCTAGGACTTGTACAGAAAAATTTATTATTTTTCATGACATAAGTGGCTGCCAAATGTTTTGCATCATCCAAACGACAAATTTAACTTTGCGCACATACATTTAAGATCCATAAATTTTATACATGCGAATCTTATAAACATACCGATACGGGGATAACCTTATAAGTATATCGTAATAATAAAAAAAAGAAATTTACGCAATTTTACGTGATGCGTTTCTTTTGATTGATTTAAAATATAAAAATTAAAACACTATTTCCAACTAACTAACAAATAAAATTTAAACAAAACATTCTTTACTACCTAGTATACTCTCCTTTAGCATTAATTACATCATCCATTCACTCGGGCATACTTTCAATTAGCCAAGTTATAAATTCATTATCCATTGTAATCCAAATTTGTTGAATTGCATCCCACAGTTGATTTTGATTATTGATTGGGATGTCCAATTGTTTCAGGCGCCTATCTACCTCATTCCAGAGATATTCAATTGGATTTAAATCAGGAGATTAAGGTGGCCATTCCATTACATTAATCCCATTATCATCAAACCATTCCATTATTTTATTAGCCACATGTTTTGGGTCATTATCTTGCATAAAAATAATATTATTTTTATCAATTCATTTTACTTGATGGTTCCTAATAAGTCATCCATTAATATTTCATGATATAATTCTTGATCCAAACAACATGAATTTTGACTTATCTGACCAAAGCATCTTGTTTCAATCTTCTATTTGCCAATCTTTATGTTCTTTTGCAAATTTTAAACATAATTTTCAATGTTTTTTTATTTAAATAAGGCTTCTTTTGTTTGACTTTTGCAGGTAAATCATGTTTATATAAAGTTCTTCTTAGATTGTTATTTCTTATATTAGATTTATTATTAATTTAAACATTTATTACTTGAAATAAATCATATAATATTATACTTATTGCATTCAATTAAAATTCAGATTTTGGTAAATCTTTTATAAAACCAGGTATTTTGAGTTTTTTAAAGATAGATAACAGAAGATTATGTGATATTTTCTTTTGATGCAATATTATAAGAGGAAAATTTTCATCAAGAGAATATAAATTTATGATCTTGTTCAATAGTAATATGATTTATATTAATTTAATTATTATTTTTTAAAATAGAATAAAAGATTATATTTATAAATATAATTTTTATATAGTATACAAAATAATATTTGTTATAAAATTTATATATTTATATACTCTTATATTTAAATAGATTAATAAAAAAAATGCATTATTATTTTTGAAAAGAAATAAACACAAAATTATGATAAATATAAAATATTATAATTTATATTAAGTTTAAAGATAATTAAGATTCTTCTTTTTTAAATATACTTAATTTTTATATAAATAATATATAAATTATAAAAATATTATATTTTTTATTTATATAATATAAAACTTTCAATAGTTATTATATATATTAGATTTTATTTATTTTAATTATAATTAAAGTAATTAAAATAATTAATAAATATATTCAAATATAAATAAAATTTAATTACTTATTTTTATTATTATTTCTTAATTAATAATTAATAATTAATTAATTATTTAATTATTTAATTATTTTATTAAAAAATTAATATTAATATTAAGAATAAATATATTAGATAATAAAATAACTAGTTTTTATCTTGAATTATTTGATTATAAGTTATTTATAAATAATTTAATAACTAATTATTTAAGATTATTTATTATTATCAACTTTCTGAATTAATAGTAAAAATAAATTTTTATATTATAAAATATTATTACTATTATAATATAAATAAAATTATTTATAATAAAAATTGAAATTTCTTTCTATATTAAAATTTATAATTTTAATAAAAAAATTTTATTTTTATATTAAAATAAAATTTATTAGTTATAATTTAATATATATATTTTTTAGATTTTTTCTGAAAAAGTTACTCTAATTATAAAGTTAATACAAAAATTTTTACTAATTAAAAATGAAAT